GTCTATGCAAGTCTGTGTATAATTAACAATGAGTGGAAAGACTGCTAACATTTACCCTTTGGGAACCTAGAATTTTTTCCCTGCATTACTCCATGTACTTTAAAATTTTTATTTACTTATTTTTTATGATCTCTCTCTCTCTCTCTCTCAGAAGGGAGCCTACTCCATTGTTATCCTCAGTTACATCTTATTTTTATGTGCAAAATTCAAATTGAGGGTGGAGTTGTAGGGGTTCAGTTGTCACCCTCTGAAACAAGATAGATTTTCTGCATATTTATCCACTCAGAACTGGGGAATAGAAAAGGAGTGGGTGGGAATGGCCTTGAAAAAAACAACTATTAGTCTTACTGGACTACTATAATATAGTACTACACAGTCTGCACAGTGTGTGGCTTAAATTTCAGAAATTTATGTTCTCACAGTTCCAGATGCTGGGAGTCAGAGATCAAGCCCAAAGGGATGGGTTCTTGTGGAGGCCTCTCCCCTTGGCGTGCGTATAGCCGTCTTCTCTCCATGTGTTCACATGGTCTTCTCTCTGTGTATGTCTGTGTCCCAGTTTCTTCTTACCAGGATACCAGTCACAACTGGATCAGGGCCCACTCATAAGACCTTGTTTTATTTTAATTGCAATGTGAAGGCTTGATCTCCAGTCACATTCTGAGGTACGCGGGTGCTGGGCCTTCAAAGTATGAATTTCATGAAGGAGGGGCAGGATTCTCATAACAAAGTCTGAACTTCTGATTTATTTCCTCTTTTTATTCACTAGGAACTTAGGTGTGACCCTCATATTACAGATGATGTGAGTGATAAGTGCACAATTGGATGCCTCAAGCTAAGCTTGATGAGATGACACCATGAAGGCTTTCAGTCAGGGCCCACTCTGGTCTTGTCATCAGCTCCCTGTATTTTGTATGTCTTTACAGGAATTGGGAGTCTTTCTATACCTTCTATGAGAACTTCCTAATAAGCAGAGTGGGTTTACTTCACAATCCTAACTCTTAAAGCATTGCATTGTTTCTGGAATCACCATAGCACAGAAAGGCCTCCCTGCTCTGGGCTGGGTTGTGTGTGAGTCATAAATGCCTTCATGGTGGACATTTGCCTAAAGACATTTTCCAGAGATGAATGTTTATCTGTAAGCATTCACTCAGTTTGCACTCCACCATGCCTCACAGATAATCTCCTTCTTAAATGTTTTGTGGCCTTACTTCCAGAATTGGGTAAGAGAGGCTGCTTTCTATGGAAGAACTGTGTCTACCAGTCACAGGGCAAAAGACAGAGACCATTAGGCTAGGTCTCTTGGCTCTTTTGTTTAGGATTTTGTTTTTAAAAACTCTCCTAATATGGTTTACAATATAATTCTCCTAAATCATTTGAGTTATTCTAGGGCAGAGCCTCTGACCCTCAACACTCTAGACAGTTTGGGCTGGATCACTCTTAGTTGTGAAGCTGTCCTGTGTATTGTAGGAAGGTAACAGTATCCTTGGCCTCTACACACTAGATGATAAGAATACCTCCATTTGTGACCTCTACAAATGTCTCTGTACTTTGCTAAATGTCCCCTGGGAGAGGGACAAAATCGTGTGGAGTGAAGCATCATGTTAGTATGTTATGAAAACATTTTAGATCTAACTTTTCTGGGATATATCTACTTTCAAAAAGAATTATTAATTGTTTTGTCAGTATTGATTTAAAACATATGCACTTTGCTAACCTGTAGAATGATTTGGATGTTACTTCCAACTGCCTTGCAATTCATGCATTTGTCAATTTAATGTCTCTCTAGCCACCACTTAGCTGGAGAATACTCCTATTGCATGTAGGGAGATAATAAATATATTTTTCCTTTCTTTCTTCATCTTTCCCTTCTTCTACCAGTTCTTCAGATTACATTAGATTTTATAGTCTGGTGGTAATTTTCTAATTCTTGCTTTGGAGTTTTGAATTAATTGCATTTTCATGAATCCTGGAAATTGACTTTTCTGATTCTTTTCATGGACTTTGGTAATGTCAAAGAGACTTGTTCACTTTATTTCAGAGGCCTGCCCAAGCGTAGGTGCAGGTTACAAAACAGCATGTTCAATATGATCCCATATTTGTCTGAATATTCCACATGTGCATGTGCAGAAAATCCTCTGGAGGGGTATGCTCTGAAGTGTAACCCTTACCCAAACAGGATTCTTAGTGTTTCTTTATTTTGTCCATTTATATTTTCTAATTTTCCCTACAACTAACATCTATTCTTTTGTGCAGTTAAAAAAAGAATACCTGTTTTAGAAATCATTTTCAAGCCTCCTGCAATGTCAGTGCAAGATTTGGCATCTGTTGGCTGATGCTGTTAATAGTAGTTAGAGTTTTATTTGAAATGACACTTATTTTTGGAAGAAACAGGGACAACTGAGTCACCCACAATATTTTAGGAGAAAGGATGAAACAAGAAACCCCAAAGGAACAGGTGAAGATTTGCTAGGCAGATTTCTGTTTTGTACTGAAAGGTTTTTGGGTCAAGATATATGTATGCGTATGAACTAAGATGGAACTTTCCTGAACTCAGGAGGGGCTGAATTTAGCAGTGAGCTAAGGCTCTGGGCCACTTAACAAGTCATCCAGCAGAGAGCTGCTAGTGTAACCTGGGGCTTTGTATATTTAAAAGCCGTCCTGCAAGCACACCATGTTCCTAGAGCATGCTGGGCTTGCCTATCTCCAAGTGGTTTGACAATATTAAGAACTTCCTCAAAACATCACCAGCTTCTAAGCCAGCTCACTGGCAACAGCCACTAGTGCTTTCATGAATCCCAGCTCATGGATGTTCAAGCTCAGAGAAGACATCTCAATCACTGAAATGTATCTTCATTGCTTACTGTGTACTTTTAGAAACGAAAGGTGGCTTTTCTCAGGGAAGTAGATTAGCGCTGGATTGGACACATTCTTCTTTCTAGTCACCCTGTGCATAGTAAGATGCTGCTGTGAGGTGAGAGGTGAATGTTTGTGATAGCAGAGCTTGTGACAATAGTGGAGGGGGAAAGAGGATGAATGTAGGTGATTAACTCTGAGTGCACAGTTCAATTGATAGTGTGCCAGCACCTAGTGTGGAGTGTTTAGAAGGAAGGAAGAGTACAGGCTTGGGAGATCGACACACCAGATTCTGAATCCAATTTCCATTGCGTGTTATCACCCATATGCAGATAGATAAATTATTTAACCTCTTGCAGCTTCAGCTTTCTCATCTATAAAATGGGAACAAAGCAGATGTCCTCTTACATATTTGTGTGTGCGTGTGTGTGTGTGTGAGCGCGTGTGTAGAAACATACCAAACACATGTAAGTAACAGCCTGAAAAACAAGAGTTTAATATTCCTTTCCTTCTGTTCATTTTCCAGGCTTGTTGCTGGTAATTAGCATAGATCAAGAATTCACAAACTTTGTTTTGGTAAAGGGACAGACAGTAAATATTTTAGGTTTTGTGAGACAGGAGGCAAAACTGCGACTATTATGTATATAATTTCATGACAAGAGAAAACACATTTCTGCAAATTTGCATTGATGAAATTAAGATTATAATGGTAAAAAGGGAGTACAAATTTTTCTCATATGAATCCATCAATGAAAAGAAATTCTTTGTTGGAGAGATAATATTTCACTTAATTAGGGCTCAAAATTAGAATCCTTTATAATCACCTTGATGGCCAATGCTCGTCTGTACAGACCATTCTTAACTTCCAGGGCATACAAAAACAGGTAGCAGGCTGAATTTGCTTCACAAGCCATAGTATGCCAATCCTTCCTGTAGAGCATTTATTAATAATGCCAATTTCTGCTCATGCTCTGATCCTAATCATTAAGTAAATAATTTGAAATCATAATTAATATATAAATCAACGGTTAGAAGGCTATAATCTCAAGAGGAGGCTGAAGTAACTAAATCTTTAAATAAACAGACTCTTGGAAGCTAACAGAGTGCTTAGTCTTATTTAATCAAATGATTCTTAAAATAATCTATCTTCTTTTGTGGTTGAAATGTGGAAAACAGTAGGAAGAAATTATCAGGCCACACAAACTGACCACCTACAAAGAGAGATCAAGTAGTGAATGATTATGAAAACAGAGGGTTACTCAAAGAGATTCTGCTTTTGATCAAGTAAGAAATAGACATGCCTGCTTTCAGGAATGGCATAGCTAAAGGAGGGGTTAACATCTGGCACGAGGTTTCCTTCCTGTTGTCCTTTCACTGACCTAGATGCACAGATTCAGATTTGTCAGCTAAGTTATCTACAAATGCCTGAATGCAAGTAGGATCATAAAAATATTATGAGGTTTATTCTTCACACAAAGGCATTACATTTTAGCAAAAAACTAATACGTAGTGGTAATTATCCAATGAAATAGAGGAGATTCAAAGAGGTATTAAGGTTAAGCAAGACATCTTTGCTTTTGGTACCTGAGTTATCAAACAGAAGAATGTCTATATTTTTGAATACTTGAGAGAGACAGATGTGGACAAGGGTTGAAACAGAGCAAGAAGGGGCTAAGGTATATTAAAAAAGATCAAAGTGGGAAAGCTGCTAACTCTACCATTTGTGTGACAGAAAGGAATAATCCACTGCAGCACATGATTTGAAATTCAGTGAAGTCCTGTGGTTATTAACAGAGGCTGCCATGCCAGTTGTGATAAAGGTGTTTAAGGCAAGAATTTTAAAATTTTAAGATAGTTGAATTGGGAAAATGCTACAATTTCTTGCAATTTAATGGAAAATAGGCAATTCTTAGACAAAAGTATTTTAAAGTGCATTGTTTTAGCTGAAGAATAATCATTAGCTAGAGTGTTTAACAAGTGAGCTTCAGTGGAGGGGTGAAAGATACTACTTCTCTGAGCTGATGTTTAGCACATATTTTCTCCATTTATGTGTCAAGAGAACACAGCCAATGTATCTTCTTATTTTAACTAACAAATGGAAAGAACACACAGGTATGTAAGGATAAATGTCAGAGGAAAAACTGAAGTACACTTCCAAGCAAAATTTATTAGATGTCTACTCAAGAAAAACACAATGATCTTTGCTTGTAAGAATTCAGTCAATTACCTGAAAGTCAGGTGTGAATAGTTTTTCTTTTAAAATCAGATACAGAGAATAGAAACAGTATTTTTTCTTAAATATAACAGGCAACAGATTTTGAAGTCTTGTCTCATAAATGGCACCAAAGAGAATTAGTCATTTATCAGCAAAGCTGCATGCAGTTGACTTAATTTCAAACCCAAAGCCTTTAAAATATAAAGCTGGTTGTGAACTTGACAGTAATCATGGTAGGCTATCCAAAGATGTTCCTTTACTTTCTTCCTAATGAAATTCCTCTGTAATCAGTACTTATCTATCTTTCAGTTTGGCTGCTAAGACCTTTTCAATTTTTAAACCTTTGCTTATCTTATAGATTTGTACTATCAAGGGGGACCCTTGTGATCTTCCAGATACATAAAGGATAATCTTCTGAAAGTGTTTTAGCTTAGTTTAAATTCAGGATAAACATCAAACTGGAAGTTCCCCTGTCTTCTCAATAACTAAACAGTCTGTACAAAAAAACAACAAACATATACAAAATTCTACAGTCTACATATTGTGAAAAGATCAATTACTGTCCATGAAGAAATGCCATAAAAAGTTTTATCTATAAGGTGCTCAAGATCCAAAGATGAACAGTTCTTATGCAAATTCATAAGAAATACAAAGCTAGTTTTCAGGGCATATGCAATTCAGGCACTGTTAGTTAACCCTATTAAATCTTTCAGACTCTGCTTTAGGGCAGAAAAAAAAAATAACCTGAATGATTTAACAGTCTCTAAAAAGTGCCCAATTTATTCCTAGGAAATATTTTACATACACCAGGAAAATCAGGCTCAACATATTCCTGTTCTCAAATGTAGCCAGGATTCTGAGTTCCACAGAAGAAAAATAAGTATCATAGTAAAAATAATTGTATTGACCATAATCCTTGCTAAAACCAGCCTTAATACTTGTAATGCTTCTGAAGTACTCTATTTCTATAAAATAACATGTAGAATTCTTTTAAATTTCCATAAAATGTACAACATATCATATGGATTATATGTTCCCATATAATCTCAAATGTGTATGTGTACACACAGTGAAATCTTACCTACTAATATTGCTTACAGATACTTTCAAGTGTCTATGTTAGAATAGTACTTTGCACCTCTCACTAACACTGCTTTTATTTAAATTTTATCAGATAAATAAAACACTAAGAGCTCATGATGCTGATTATTACATTTTAATATAAAATAGCAATGCAACTTTACAACACAATAATTTTTCTGTAGTCTACCTAATCCTTTTTTATTCTCATGATAATCACCAAAGGCTCTTATTCACTCACTGTACTTCTAAAAAGTACAAAAAATTGCAGGAAAAGATTCCTCTTTGAAAACTTACATTCAATCAACAAAATCACACCCATACGAATTAACTTTCCTACTCTTGCTTTAGGTTTTGTAATTACTGTGCATATAACAACATATGAGTGCAGGCAAAAAATAGCTGAAGTACAGTTATCATATAGTGTAAACCAGGATACTAGGCAAACTTGTGAAAGGAAAATAGGGTGCCAAGCTAAGAATGTGAATATGCAAACCACAGCATTTTGAAATAAACAATCTTCTGGTTGCCTGGGGGAGGAGCATCTTCCAGGTTTTGAAATATAGCCATGAGACCAGAGAGCCTCCTGCCAATTCTTTCTTTTGTTCACTTTCTCTGAAATACTTTACTTTTAAAAAATATACTACTTTTCTTTCTGATCTCCCACACTGACTTTCCAAAGTTTAGGGCAGAAAGTAGGAAGATCTACTTTCTTATGGATGCAGGTCTGCCATGTCTCACCAAGGCTCACAGCGGCAGTTACTCTGCTGGTGGTTTGGTGGCAGGAGGTGGAGATGGTGATAGCGTATTGGAAATCATAAGGCATGACATGAGAGGCCTACGTGAATGTTTCAGGCAAATTTATGCAGATGTGTTGCTGAAATGTGGCATAAATAAGGAGAGTGATTCACAGCCTCTTGACATAATTTCCGGGAAAAGTACCAAAGAATTTGGTTCTTCTTGAAGTTCCTGAAAATAGAAGCAATAAATGAAAAGGTATAACAACAATGAAATATCACTTCATATATGCGAACTTGAACACTTTCCATTTATAAGGTTACAGTAAGAGAGCAAGACCAGAAGGGTTTAGAAAAGAAGAATGAAAACTCTAAGACCATAAGAAGAAAAAGTAAGCAATTTTAGTTATTCTGCCTGATGTGCTCTTTGCCTATTAAGCATACATGATGTGCTTCAAGCTAAACAAAAAAGTTCAGCCTCTTGGTCTAAAGGGAAAGACAATCCTGCAGAGGAGGTGGGTGGTGGAACTCAACAAATGTGAAGGTTGGCAGTGTGTCGGGGTGACTAGAAAAGCCCAGGAGCAAGGGGTAAAGACAAGAGCCATCCTCAACGCAAGTGACAAATTAAGGGATTATCTGGGACACTGCCAATATCTAAAGTTTTATTACCTCATGGTCAATGCTACCTTATTCATTTAAAAGAAAGCCAGAATTTTTAAATAAAATATAGAAAATTTGAACAATTTATAAGTCATTAATGAAAAGTAAGATTATTACTTGTGTGAGTGGGTGGGGAATTCAATCACTGAACACTATTTCTAATATGGTGATTTAAACCAAATGCACAAATGGCCTTTAGTTTTAAACACCATGATTTCTTGGATACTCTGTAGAAGTTGGTGCACTAAATTCTTATTTGGAATTTCCAGTAAAAATACAGTGAAATAGGATCTCCAAAGTTTCATTTCTCATTAATACTCTGGAGTGTATTGTCTTAGTTTGGTTGTATCTCCTATCCCCACAAAGAAGTCATTTTTACTTTTCTTAAAGATGAGAATCAATATGAATAGATCAGAAGCCTGTGTCTGCAAATGTGGCCTCAGAGTTTTTTTTTTTTTTTTCATTTTTTGCACCATGGCAGGATCTGTCCATACCCCTCCTTTCCTCAGATTTTGCTCTCCTCCAACATCCTGCATTTCTTTTTCACCTTTTTCTGCTGTGTCCTGGTGTACAATACTTTTGTCTACAAACATTTTCTCAGAAAACCTCTGGTCTTTTTCTTTTTTCCCTTTTTACTTTTTGTGCTGGGGATTAAACCCAGGGGGCTCCCCTGCTAAGCACATGCTCTACCACTGAGCCACACACCCAGCCCTCTAGTCTTCTTTTAAGATGATAAGAATGGGATTGTTTTTGAAGTGATAAGACTGGAACTTCTTTCCACTTCTACTACAAATTGGAGCTCAGAAGAAGCACTGGGGAAGCTATACCAGACCTTGGAAATGGGTTAGTTGTTCATGTATTCTTGCTCTATTTCAAATGAGATTATCCCTATTGAAATTATCACTGTTGAGATTATCAGTGTTGACATTTCCCACTGAACATTTTGGGGACATTTATTGTTTTTGTTATTGTTAAATCATAGTCCTCCCTGGTTGGTGTTATTGAAGGGAATTTTCTTTTCTCATTTAGTTGGAATAAAACTAGCAGAAAGTCAGATACACCTGAGCAGTAAATACTAAACTATATTAAAAATGAAATTAGGATTATACAGTGCATACAAATGTTTGAAAGATCAGAGGCATTGTGAATTCAAAGAAAGCCCGACTATCATAGTGAAACATGCAACTGGGCAAATTCAAGCAAATTATAAAATAGCCAAATGTATCTGGAAGGAAATGTACACATACCAACAAACCATCCATCATCACACTTTTCCATCACATCAATGACATCACTTTCTCTGAGTTCCAGCTCATCTTCATTCCTAGGAGTATAGTTATACAGAGCCTGAAACCTTAAACAGGACAAATGGATGTGTTTGAATGTTTTTACATATTTTTGAAACTATAGAAGATAGTACAATATTCATTTTACTTTTAACATTTCTATTCTTATCTACATGCTATATATTTGGCAGTATAAGTCTTGGATAAACATGTAAAATACATAATAATTTACTTGGGATTTCCATGTGAGTTAGATTAATGATATTTCAAAATGCATAGGGAAGAATATTCATAGATGATTGTATATACATGAATTGGATTAGAATATTTTAACATTTGTAGGTCAGACTTTCATTTTAACTGTCCAATCATCTAATGTCTATCATTCAGATACTAATTATGCAACTATATAAAAACAAAAATCATAGCTTTAGCTAGCCATAATCATAAGCAAATAACTGAGGCTTGCGAATGGAATTTTCAAATGATCGCAAATCGAGATGTACAAACTGTCTTAGGTATATGTCTAAATCACTCTGTGGGAATTAGTTTAAAAGAGAAGTTATTTTTCATCAAGGATAATTCTTTTTTTTTTTTTTTTTTGGTACTGGGGATCAAACTCGGGACCTTGCACTTGGGAGGCAGGTGGTGGCACCACTGAGCTAAATCCCTGGCCCTCATCATGGGTAATTCTTTAAAGCAAATTAAATTTATAATTTGAATCAGTGTTTTCTGAACTTTTAGAATCTGAAAATCTGATGCAGTTCACCTATGAAGTTGAGTGAATGTAGTCTCAGTTGTCACAGAGTCAATCTAAGTAATAGAATATGGACCTACATTCCTTCTTAAAATGGGTCTGGAAGAAATTGGTGGTATTAAAGAATTCCTTTGAAATAATTCTATGTCAGAAAAAATTACCGATGGAACGCCATCACTTTCCTTTCCCTGCCTGAATTCTTTGAGAGATATATTATGATGACATTGATCAGTTATAGATTCATACATTGAATTTATGGCAATAAATAGCAGGTATTTTAATGAATATTAACATAGACGTGCACTTTGGATAGAAAACACATAAATAATAGTGGCTGAGAAGTTCAGGAAGTACTTGATATACTTACCATGAAAACCTTCATAATGTTACTAAAAATCATCAATACTATAGGGCAATTATTTGAAAAATGGGTAAATTTGTTTTTGTTGCTCTTTGTAACAGTCATATAACTCTGCTAAGGTTAGAAAATAAGAATAACATTCTGGGGTCCTTTGAATTCTTTTAAGCCAACTTTAAGAAGTTGGTGATAATGAATTATACCCTGGAACAAAAATGATTTATTTCTAATTATTTTAATGAGTCTAACAATCACATTTTGTTAGAATAAAAATATTCTATCGCGTTAACTCAGATAGTACATCATAAATAAAGTATACTAATCCACCGGCTTCCCTGCCTGTGAACTTGTTCAGTTTGGTGTATCAGGACAAAGTTGGCTTTGGGGAGTTCTAGAAAAGAGCTGGTAGCATATGGTGCCTAACATCCTCTTCCAAAAACAGTATCTTTTTAAAAAATTCTTTTATTGGTACCTTTTAGGTATACAATATGTTTACATTTATCACTGGGTGCTTGTACCTGTACATGACGTATCTTGGTTCTTATTTTTTTTCCCCATTGCCTGTGCTCCCTTCATCCCTCCACCCTTCCCTATTTACATAGACTTTGTTTCCATTTCAAAAACATTATCTTCCCTGACCTGCTACCAAAGCCTAAAATTCCAACATTAGAAATTTCTTGCCCTGTTTAATATTAGTAAACTATTTTAGCCATTTTTATTCTTTTGAGAATAGTCTTCTGAGGTCCTTTCTTGGGGGAGAATTCTAATTGTGGCCAAAGGTAGAAAAACGTGGCCAGAATCCAAGAACAGTGGTGAAGAAAACTGGCAGCATTGAACTAATGTGGATGTTTGCATGGGCCAGCCTTAGTAGGAATAGTAAAATGGGATTTTGGGGTGTTGATTTGGTTCTGAGGCTGGCTGGTCAGGTGAAGCAATGATATCTTTTGTATAATAATGGGGAAAGTCGATTTCAACACGGCCCCTGTTCCAGTTTCACATTTGTGAGAGAAATGGTCAGTTCTGGGCTGCTATTTCAGTGGATATGCATAGCATCTCTCACTTCAGGAAAAGTGATTCTCTGAACTGAGGTTCTCAAGGCTCAGCCTTCATGCAGGCACAGCTCCAAGCGCTCATGGAGACAGGCCTATTTAAGGTCACAAACCCCCGCTGCCTGAAGAGTCTCAAGGTTCCCAGAGCTAACAAGCTAAAATTGGCACAACCCCTACTTCATTTTTGTATGATGACAGTCAGCATGCAGGTCAAAATTTACTTACATTTTGGTTTAATTAGACCACAAAAATATTTTATGGAAATATAAACAAATCTTTCAGAAATCTTCCTATCTTTTCTGGCTTTCAAAATCAGCATCACATGATGGGAAATGCAGTCAAATTACAATTAAAAATGTTGTTTTGGAAGATGTGTTGGGTGACATAAATGATGACAGTGAGGTCAGGATGTCTCACAAAGAAATTTGTCTTTTAAATGGGAAATGCTGAGCCAAACTGGACTGTAAAACTTGTGCCTTCTTCTATAACATAACGCACCCAGAGTGAATTGTGTGGATACAGTGTCATGCTTCTACTTTTGCTTCAAAACTTATTTTTTTCCTTTTGGTTCTAGGAATTCAACCCAGGGTCTCACACATGGTAGGCAAGTGCTCTACCACTGAGCTACATACCCAACTCAAAGACTATTTTGAAATGACATTAAGCAACACCTCACATTCCTAATTAAGGCTGTAACCAAACATAAGTCTAATAAAGAATTAAATGGGGAAAATGTCTTAGGCCCCATGGGCTCTGTGGTTTTATACCAACCAAATGATCACATTTGAATATGACATAGAACAGTGTAACAGGACATAACTTTATGTATTTATATATTTACATAAACTCCTTTGAAACTGTTGAATAGAACATGTTGGTAATGCAATAAACAGCCCTGGAATTTATTTTTGTGTTGTGATCCTATCATCATTTGTACAAATAAGAGAACAAACAAAAGCTTTAGAATTACAAGTTATATTTAACATTTTCCAATTAAGAGAGATTTTAAATGATCATTAGTTCTATAATGTGAACTTTCCCTTAGCAAGAACACCTCTCTGGATGTACAGGAAGATGACAACCAGTCCCAGGGAGAGATGAGTTCTGGAGAACATGCTTTTAGCTAAGTTTCGGACCTCTGAGGAGAGAGGAGGGAATGGATGGTGCTGAAGGTCAAGGCACACACCAGGACCTGCCTAGGAGGAGTCATCTTCTGTCTGCCCTTTTTGCACCATGTTTGCAGAGCATGGGCAGCAAGCTGGAGGCTTGCTGTGCATGACTCAGGAGCGCAGGCAAGGCCTGGGCCTTATCTGTTCCTTCCAGGGTCTCACTCTTGACTTACAATAGGTAGAACCAATCAGAAATGGATCTGAGCATCTCTCACAGGTGAGATGAGAGAGAAAAAGGATCACAAAAGAGAATCCTAAAGGCAACATCTAATACTTTGAGGTTGGTTTAAATTATATATTAGGAGAGGAAATTTGAAAGTAAAGTTTGAAAAGGCATATTGTAGGTGCTGTGGAAATAATATCATATAACTGAAGGATAGTGAGTATTTTAATATGGCCATTTTCAAAAGACACTTCTAAGTATGTAACTTTGCAGTGATGTTATTAAAGTAGAATAGGTCTACTTTCAAAGTGTCCCAGTAAGTGGAGAAACAATTTTAGGACCTTTTCTTGTATGTCTTTAAGGTTGTAGTTACCAGTTACATGGCTGGAAGAGCAGAGGGAGAGAGATTTATAAATCTTTGGAATCACTGCAGCATTGGAAGGTTTTCCTAGTGCATATGAAAACTTTCCCTGTTTTCTTTTAAATATTAGCTTTTGATCTCTGTCATAAAAAAATGGAGACCATTATAATTTCTTGTAAGTCGAGAGATCTCATGTCAGTATTTGGATCTCCTTTTTTTGCAAAGTTGTAATCCTCTGTTTTGGTACGTCTATCACCTATTTTGTGGGTCAAAGTTAGTCTTGAATTTAGAAGATAAGAAGAATACTTACGGTTCCCCCCCACCTTGAATGTTTTCATGAGTAGACACAGGATGCTGTGGCTGAAATGAAATGATTTTCAATGTAGTAAATGTTTAAACTGTTACTAATTAGAAGATAATTTGGATAATGGCATGATACTTTTCTTGACATTTAATGTTTCCTGTTGTAAAAAACCAAGAGGAAGAAAAAAATCACCAAATAAAGGGTTTCTGAGGAATTTATCGCTAAAATATTTTGAAGGGTGCTTTAAATTAAATCAAAATAACCAAGGTTCCAATGTATTGAACACATCCACAATCTAGTCTGCTCAAGCATTAAGGAAGAGTCAGGGTTTAGTCCCATTGATTTTTCAAAGGTCAGGAATATGGTAAGAACATGGACACCAAACCACTAGGATAGGCAGGAGCGACACCTTCATACAGCCTTATTCTCCAGCGTTTTCTCAGACAAGCAGAAGGTAAGCCACATTTAGTTGAACAGCAAAATATCCACAGTCACTCTGTAAACTTTTCCCTCACAGACAACATTTCCACATACAGTACGGATGAAATATCAATAGGCAGACATCCCATGCTACATTTGAATTAACATTCTCTGTTCTCAATGTGGAGAGGGCACATGCATTTTTCAAAAGAGAAAACAGAGAACTTTAAATAAAATGCAACAAACAATATCCAGGTAACATGTAACATTTTACCTTAGAAGAGAAATATTGGTAGGAATTCCCAGTGCACTGAACTCTCAAAAGAGTTTCCTTTCTTTTTAAACTAAGCATCAAGACCAGTATCTGTAATAGATACTTATAATATTGGAAATGACAAGCCTTAGCATCTTGTATAGCCACATAAATACTTCAATGAAGGAAAGTTAACACATTTGTTGAATACATAAAACTTGGTGTAACTTACATTGGCCTATGTGTTCCATTTTCGGGAAAGAAATGCATACAACTCATTCACAACACATTTCCACAGCATAATCTTCTAAATGATAGCTACAAAGTGCATTAAGAAAATCAGGGAGTTTGCATGGGAGTTATGTAAGTGACTTTTTGATGGCTACTAGATTAGTTACTAGATCCATATATTTACACATCAGGACCAATTCTTGGACTTTCATAGTTATGACTGGATTATTGATAGGCTGGAAAGTTCTTCCTGCAACTTTTCTATAGAAACATCACTAGTTCAAGCTTAGAGGGGGAACTCTGAGGTTCCCTTTGGCCTGAGACTATTTTCTGCCCCATTCTTAAATTCTTTATTCATTCTCTTCCTAGCTATGGTGTCCATAGAGGATATTCTAAATACCTTCACTAGCAAAACTTCAAGCTTTCAATCTATTACTTGGAAGCACTCACTAACAATATTCTTAGAAATTTCACTTGACAGTCTTTAAATGGAATATACAAACTTAGAACTAAAGTGCAGGCAAGAACTACTGGACACCTGGATCACTTGAGATCATGAAATAGTTAACTCATAAATCAGTGTAAAATTACTAACAATGTATCCATTATTAAAATTATAAAATGGATTATTTTAAGAATGATTAAGCCTAAACAATTTCCAGATGTTTTGATTACATTTCTTCAATTTCTCTTTTAATTAATAGAATTTTGTATCTGTGTAAAACATTCATACAAAAGACTTGTATATATTAATTACCATTACTGCTGTTTTGTAATAGTCTTCTTTTCCCAGTTTTCTTTTTCATCTTAAATGACTTCAGAATAATGTTCCCTCACATCTGTACTGACATATGATAGTTCTTTTGACCATTTTTCTCTCTCTTTTTGAAGTTAAGATTGGTCTAATCTTTTTTTGACTATTATAAATAACAGTACTATAAACATTCTTATTCAAAATGCTATTTTCTTCTTTTGAGCTATTCCTTAGAATATTTTCCTTGGAGTAAAATTTTTGGCCAGAGTATACATTAAAGCCATACGATTTTGAGTGTTCATGTCCATCACTTCAAAATACTGTGTATATAAAAGAAACTGTAAACAAATCTCATATGCTATATTTCAAACCACATATGCTATATTTCAAATCACAACCAAGATAGCTACTGTTATCTCACAAAACATCCATAGCACCATTTGCAGTGCATAACAAAATTTCAGATATGACAATAATTTGTTATTTTCCTAGAAAAAGTTTTAAACTATATGTCATTATGTTTTAAAAATGGCATGCTTATTTTCACATATTTAAATCATTCTAAAATCTTAAAATTGAGTAGAAATTGTAGCTTTTAAGTCATAGCATTCAGTGCTTGGTAAAATTGGTTGGTCTATTTTCATAACTCCTTTCATTAAAATGTGAACAGCATTTAAAAATTAAGTCCTTCATTAATATAAAGCTGGCTACTTTTAAGATATATATCCTTTTAGTTATCACCACTATAATTCCTCTAGTTCATTTAATTCAACCCACTTCCTAAATCATTTACATGAACTGTCCCTTTGACAATTAGGAGAACTAGGCTATTGCTTTAAGTGTGCGGCTCCTTTAATTCCATAGATCTCTACTTCAAAGCTTACCTTTAATAGGAATCGCCTTCATGTTAACTAGGAGCCAGTTTTGAGGAAAAGTGACTAATTACAGAGTTTGACTATATTTAAAAAGCAATACAGGAATCAATGTTGTTGATAGTTATTTATGAGGGCACATATGTGTTTTTGTTTTGTGCACTACCGCATGAGGTTGGAGATGCATGTTAGCTCCTTATCTCTAAACTCAATGAATTGGACAAGATAAAGATAAATCGTGCTCCCCTTAGGGAGCCCATAAAGAATCCGTGTTTCCTCAGTCGGTTTTCCCTGCTATGTAAAGTTGCTTTTCATCAACTTTACACATTCCGTCGTCAGTGAGCTGTCACAACTGACATTTACTTGCTAATTCTTACGTGTCTTAGTTGTGTTAAAACAATATTGGTAATAATTCAACTTCATTTTGCAGATCAGCAAAACAGAACCACAACATACGAAAAAACCCGCAAGATATTGGATAGTTTCTTAAAATGATAAATAGATGAAAAGAAATAGAATGATAATTTTGACTAGCACTCTTTGTTGAATGAAATATTATAATGGCCTATCTTGGTGAAAAATTAGTGTCTTAATTTTGTTTCTGAGACAGGTGCTTATGTTTTATATGGATATTCAAGCAAATTATCTCAGGAGAGATCTTTTGCCCTTGCCCGCTGGTGTTGAAACTCCTCGCGCACCTCAAGATTGGTACCGTGTTTGCTCTCTATTGCCACCTAATGGTGGCTAGTGGCAGCAACAAGGTAAAAGTTGTTTTCCCCTTCCGTCTGCTCTTAACCAAATTCCTTCAGGCTGGATTAATTTTGAAAGTCTCTTTTAAAGACTACAGAATGATGTGGAATAACTATCTATTTTTCTGAACACTTTCTTCTCTTCCCACATTTGAAGCTCTTGAGAAGGAATCATTTGTTAGCCACCAATATTTTTGGTCTATCTTCATTTCTATTTTAACTGTCTGCTCAGGCATCTATTACTCATGACTTCTTAGCAGAGCTGAGATAAATATAGAACAATATACATTTGTGACATTCAGAGAGGCTTACATGAACTGTGAGCTGAAGAAGATGGTTTTCAAATTAACACATTACTATCACTGTGCTGGAAAATTTGAGCAAGAATTGTATCATGCTTCTATTTCCTTGATGAATCCTAACAGTACGATAAAACTTAGAAAATCCAAGGAAGCATTGTGCTATTTTCGTGGTATCCTATAAACATTTAATTTTTCCTTAGCAATATAACAATTTCTCCCCTCCTTTTTAGTGTAGCTATTTTTTTTTTATGCTGTCAAAAATGGATACAAAAGATACAGGTTTTAAACATGGGGTCATTTTCAAAGCTAGGATCAACCATAAACCACTGCTCCTAAGACAGTTGTTTTGAAATATCCTAGATAGCTCTCTGAAATCACTATAATATATACTTAACTGTTTCAAGTCATGGGAAATAGTCTGTCTGAAAGCCATTTATTTGTGCTTCTGCAAAAGTGTCTTTGGAGGGTTAGCTATATCTTATATTAAATAATCCTTAAATAAAGATGGATTGTTACTTTAAATAATAATGGGGAAAAGTCTTTGAAAGCGTTGTAAGCAGTTCTAAAGTTTGTAAGTCAATATTTTTTCCAGAAAATTGTAGTTGTAGTACTTGTCACAAGAATTAGATGACATTCTTCTAAGAATATTACCATATTTATGTTTATAGACCTATTTTTCCTTCTGAAATTAAAACGGTAAAATATAATTTGCATAAATTGAAAGAAAATAGAATATTTATGATTCATATAAACACATATAACCTAACATACAAAGTTATAATAATAGGAAGATCTGGCAAAGAAAAATTTTAAAGTGACCCAAAGCATACTATGTCACTAATCTATGAAAATTTATGGATAGGATGTGTTAACTTTTGGGAAAACTGTGTGCGTGCGTGTGTGTGCACGCATGCATGTGTGTGTGTGTGTGCGCGCGCGTGTGTGTGGGGGCTCTGGAAGACTGTCAAGTGAGTCTAAGAGTATTTACAAAGTCACATTCCTCTTTCTCTATGGCAACACAAGGTTCTGCTTCAGCAACAAAATGTGACCTTATTCTGCAAAGCAAAAAGCACAAAATGGCATAAATACAGAACAGAATCTACATTTTAAAAAAATGAGAATAAAAATTAAAAAATCAAGCCCATGTGAACTTGAAATATAGAAACATAGTTATGTGGTACAGCAGTTAGAGTTAAAGCAGGGTCCATTAAAATAGAAAGGGTGAAAAGAATCCTAACTTATGCATAAATGAAAATCCCCAAACTCCTTGGTTGTATTCTCCAGTACTGACAGTACCATTTAGAGTTCATTCATTCTAAAATGTGATAGATGTTATAGAATTGAATGAAGGGAAAGTAACTGGATCTTTAAGTTCAATCAAAGCTGTCAAGACATTAGGAGTACATGACTCGAGAGCAGTATTGGGACCTTGAGTGATCATAGTACACATCACCAGAGCAACAAAATATTTTGAAACAAGGGCTAGGTATTAAAATAAATCCAAGCAAACTGAACGACACAGAAGCCAAGAAGATGGGAAGCAAGTGAGTTCCGTATATGATCTGCAACAATTTTGTTCTTTGCACTAAAAGCAGTGACTAGAAAGTGGCAATTTAATATAGAGTCATGAGATTGGTGTAGAAAACAACACACACTGTAACCTTATGAATATAGTGGAGAATTCCATCATGTCTCTTTGAGTTTGGGAAACCTGGCACACTCAAGGAAACACACTATCCAGATACTTAGGATAGAATTTTCCTGTCAACCTGACTTCATGACTCACCACTATCAAATGTTCACTTCATCTCAAGGGTCTCTCTAGCTCTACTTTATTGTCAGATCACAGCAAAGACAACTAAAAATGAGCGAGCCCAGGGAGAGGGAGGGTGGCCAGGATGCTTGCCACAGGGTGGGGTGGAGGGTCTGACCCTACCCTGTTTGAACTGCTGCCAGGTGAGCTGCAGGATCTCTTAGACATCACCGGGCTACGAGGAGGCTTACCCAGGACAAATATCTCACTTTTTAAATCAGCCTGGAAAAGCCATAAGAAGTTAGTTAGCCTTCATCATTCAGCCTTCTGGAGGAGTTTTCCTGTTTTGTTCTTCCCATGCACACACAGCATGCCAAACTCCTGACGGATAGCAGAGCAGGGAGGGTTAACAGTCTGCAGACAGCTCTTCTGGCCACTCCATGTGGTTTC